TCATCCAATAGTTGTCAAAAACTTTCTATGGAGATAATTGCTTACAGAGCACATCTGTTCTTAGAGATATTGCAAAATATATAGAACAGTACTCCATTCTTTTATACTACCCAATATTTGCCAAGCTATAAATGCCTAAAATAAAAGACATTTTGCTAAAATATGCTTATTTGTTTCATCGTCATCTCCACATATTTGAGAATTGAAGACCATTAAACCTTATTCCCATGAAGTTCATTATAAAGAATGTTCATACTATTACACAATATTCTATTTATGAGAATCCCATTAAAAATTTCTCTCCAATCTTGGTATCATAAAATTACATTTCTAGGCAAATGGTTATTTATATCTTGTATACATCCCTGAACTAGCTGTTGACCAAACTTTCCTTTTTACAGTGGTTGCTAGAAAGTGTAGAATAAACCTTGTGAGGGCAGTGACACTTTGTCAGGCTTACTTTGGAAATGCGTGAAGGAGGAAGCAATTGTTGGAGAGAGAGACCGTGCTTGTTCAAATAGAGGGTCAGTAAAACGAGGGAGACCTTCAGAGACAAGGACTGGCACAAGAGCTGCCTCCCTGGTTCACACAGAGCGATGATTGTGAGGAAGCAACAGTACCAGCAACGTTTGTTCTTTTATGCCGAAGTTCACAGGGATTCTTAGCTGGCTTGATAGGCCCTAAGTACCATCAGATGTGTGACTCTCCTGCAGAAAGTGGATTGGCGGGCTTGAATTTGCTTTCTGACTCTAGTTTCCCACTTATTTATTTGATCCTCACATTTAATTTTTGATCTCCTAGGGAGTTTATGAATCCCTGCAATATGATGGAAATAATTTCTTTAACAATGCACAGTTTTAATTGGTTTTTCTTCTTTTTCATCTATCTTTATGTGATTAGCAATTTTTAAAATACTAAGAACTACATAAAATTTTTAAAGATAAACTCACTGTTATTGAATTAGTTATCCATTACACAACTATCAAATGGGAACCCTGGTGGCATTTAAATGTTGGTTAAATGCAAGGCCAGCAGTTTAAAACCACCAGTTACTTCCTCCATGGGAGAAAGATGAGATAGCATATTCCTGTAAAGTTACAGTCTCAGAAACTCACAGGGTAGTTCTACCCTGTCCTATTGCTATGAGTCCTATCGAGCTATTATTTGTATATTATAAATAGCAATATATATAGAGAAAGCTATAATATCTATATCTATATAGATACACACACACACACATATATATAATAGCTCCTCAGGAGCCCATGCCACAGTGGGTAAGTGCTCACATCTGTTTGAACCCAACAGCGACTCTGTGGGAGAAAAGTGTAGTAGTCTGTTCTATAAAGATTTACAGACGGGGAAATTCTTTGGAGCACTTCGTTTCTGTATGGTCACTATGAGTCAGATTTGACATGATGGTAATAAGCGTAAGTGCGGTAATAATCTCTTTTCGGACAATTAATACCAGACTAGTCCCAAGGAGTTGGGGACTGATGGCACTCCAAATGTCCAACTCTTTCATGATGCTATTCAGTTCCATTTCCCCGCACTCCTCCCTCCAATATACGTCATCACGTCTCTGGGTTCTGCAAATTGCTGCAGCAACCCACAGGCATTCAAGAAAGTTAGAGGAAATATCTCACATGGAGATGAGTGCCGTCCAGTCCAAAATCTGAAGGCCAGGCCCAGGTAATCAGACACTGGGCCAGAAAGCGAGCTCCACTCCTGGCTCTTGCTGGTGATGATATCACACCCCCAGTTTCTCAGAGGACGTCTTTTATGTACAGCAGGGTGGCATTCCAGGAACTCAAGTTCACAATTACTCACTGGAAAATCCTATCAGTATCTTCCTCCACCTTTTTTACCAGACCCATGCAGGGAAAGATCATTTGGTGGGAGTAACTTTGATTATCAATAGTGCAATCAAATATAATCCTTCACACTTTTTTTTTTCTTTTTTTTAACGTTTTTTTTCTTTAACATTTTATTATGGGCTCATACAACTGTCATCCCAATCCATACACACATCAATTGTGTAAAGCGCATTTGTACATTGTTTCTCAAAACATTTTCTCTCCACTTAAACCCCCGACATTAGGTCCTCATTTTTCCCCTCCCTCCCCACTCCCCCCTCCCTCATGAGCCCTTGATAGTTTATAAATGGGAATTTTGTCATATCTTGCCCTGTCCGACATCTCCCTTCACCCACTTTTCGGTTGTCTGTCCCCCAGGGAGGAAGGAGGTCACACACAGTTCCATGTAATCGGTTCCCTCTTTCCTACCCATTCTCCCTTTACCCTCCCTGTTTTGCCACTCACACCACTGGTCCTATAGGGCTCATCTGTCCTGGATTCCCTGTATTTTCAGTCCCAATACAATACTCTATTCTCTGCCCCTGGACTGTCTCTTAGTTATGCACAGATGACTTGTAGCCTCTAGTAGGATTTTTCCAGTAGGCATTGGCCTCCATCTTAATCAAGGAGCACTCTTGGCTTTGTGATTAAACATTAGGCTGCTAACCATAAGGTCAGCAGTTCAAAACCGTGAGTGGCTCCATGGGAGAAAGAGAAGCCTTTCTACTCCATAAAGAGTTACAGTCTCAAAAACTCAGAGGACAGTTCTATCTTCTCTTATACAGTCACTATGAGTTGAAATCAGCTTCATGGCAGAGAGGGAGAGAAGGAAGGAGGGAGGGAGAGAGAAAGAGAGGAATAAATCTTAATATCAGCTAGATTTTTTCCTCAGACACTTCAGAAGCAGCTTTTCTCCTCTCAGTGGTAACACCTCATTCCTTGCATCCGTTACAAGTAACAGTAAACAAGATAAACCTTAAACAAAGAGTGTGGCCCAATTCACATCCTCTGGTGAGGTCAGAGCTTAACCTCATTCTATTCCTATTTGTTAGCAGATACTGCCCTCCGAAAGGGGCCTATAGCCACAGGTGTATGAAGTCCAGAGTCATAATATATCACATAAGGGATCATGGAAGTGCCCTATTAATTGACTTTGATTCAAGAGCTATTGTAAATAATAGATTACTGTCTATTTTATTATGATGAAAATTGTAATAGGCAACTATTTTCCTAATTCTCTGTCTACATATCTGAATTTTTCCTTCTTCAAGGCTTGAAATATTATTGTCTAATGACTTTAGAAAAACTATAGGAATTGGCACACACACACACACACACACTGTCAGGGTATCCACCTCACCATATCTTGTTAATACTGAGTTTGGTGCTGTTGTTAGCTACCAGCCCTGTGCGAACAGATGAGAGAGGGGCATTGCCATGACCCGGAAACAGAACAAAAGTGGAACACTTGCAGGCAGGAGGATGGGGTATAGAATTTGATGCCCTTTGAGCATTTATCATGCTAAAGAATTTTGTAACACTTGCCTAAGCAAGGCAGGGGCCAAGGGGTCGCAAGGCTGAGAGGCTGACAGCCAGAAAGAGATATGTTTACTGGCATTGCTGAACAGAGGTTTTGTGGACATATGAATTATATTCTCCGTGTTTTTATAATCTGTTAATTTCCCTAGTAAATCCCACAATTGTGAATATTATCTGTAGTTCAGTGTAATCATTGCAATGGATTATTGAACCCAGTAGAGAAGTAGAATGTGAGGGATTATTGGTGTTCAATAAAATTGAAGAAGGATGGGGGTGGAGGTATGCCAGCCCTCTAACTCTTAAAAATTATCTTTGGACAGATATGGAGCTCTGTAGAGCTGATCTCTATATGCCAATTCCTGGTAGAATTTGTGAACACATATCCACCATAATATTATTTACAACAGTGAAAACTGTCACAATATAAATGTTCACTGATGTTGGAATGGTAATGAATATTTTGTTTACAATAAAGTATTTTAAAATTATGATCACTGAGGTTACTAGTGATATGGAAAAGCTTTTTAGTAAAATGTTAAGTGAAAATACACTGAAATAAATTAGACCCCTTTCAACTAATAATAGAGGACATTTTGTGTTATACAATGTTACTAGCATTAAGATAAAAGATTCCTTTTCAACTACATTTTAAACTGAAGAGGATGATGTATTTCACAATATATGAACATTGATTAATTCTTCACGATTATAATTACATATGTTTTAAATTTTCTTCTCTGGAATTCCCATAACTTTCCAAATTTAACTATCACCTTTATCGACTTGGTTCTTGTAAGTATACTGTAGATTATAATAGAATTACATATTTGAAAAACATAATTATTTGTATTGTTGTTCATTTATTGATTATTTTAAAAAATAGTTGCTGCAATTCAATAACCATATCTCTACTTATCAGCCCTTTTATTATGGATACATATCATTTATCTTAAAATATTTTTTTTGAAGAAAACATTTCTATTTTAAAAGTTCATTTTCTGTACTGCAAAAGTACACTAGAGTACTGGTCCAAAAGAATAAAATTTATCTAAATGATTTATAGCCAAAAAGCATAAGGAAAATAAATCCATCTCAAATGCGATTTTTTTTAACTTCATAATATAATTTGTAAAGCTATTCATGTGCGGCCAAATAATCTATATTCTAAACTGCTACTCCTCGGGTAAAATTATGCCATCGCAGTTTAATGCATACTTTCAATTGTTTGGATTCTCAGTAAATGATTGAAAGTAAAGTCTTTTTGATAGCCGGGCAC